ACACACACTAAAAAAAAAAAAAAAAAAAATACACATATGGTACAAGATTTTGGTCACTTCGCCCACCCCTAATGGATCTGTACCACACACACAATCATATATTTATCCTCTAGCACATGCCTTTTCACATCCATAAACACATAAACGGATCCATAAACACATATACACGCACACAGGTTTGGAGTAAATGGATCTAGTGCCAGCTTCCTCAGACTCCTTGCAGTCGTAGCACGCTGGGGAATGTATTTATTTAACTGAATCGGCTGAGTGTTTAGGCCCGGTCTGACTATATTAGCATGCAGCGAGTGCAGAAACCCTGGCCCTCAAGGGATTTCGGTGTCCTGGTGTGTAAGAAGTATCCAGTCATGGATCTGACACTTCCTTTGTAAACCAAACATGCATTTAATTACTGGCCAGACACCATGTAGTGAACTGTATGATCATGCACACACTTAAACACTTAAATACACATGTAATGTGGAGAGTTGGGCTGATAAACCACACATATGATTACTAAAAGCATACTAGGAGATCAATGAGATATGGTCAGGGCTTTGAAAACACTACAAATATCAGGAAAACACATTTTTAAAAAGCTTCTCTTGATCCTCTCTGAAAGAATTACAGCTTTAATAATTACTGGTTGTGTAACCACTAAAAAGACTGCTAAAAGAGTAAAAGGCTGATTCTTCACGTATGGCTCTGAATGATAATAGACCCTTTATTTATTCATCCAGTATATTAGGACCCTATTGAATCCGCAGGCGGTAGAACAGGCTTCTAATTTTCCATATTGTGAGAGGAGGCAAGTATTTGACTGTTGCTCTCTCAGCACCTGTTGACTGAGACAATAACACGTCAAATCCAGTGCTTATCTTTACTCGAGATATATTAGCTGAGAATAGCATAACAGGTCTAAGCCTTTCTGTATAACGGCACTATTTGCAAAGATTATGTTAAGCAGATATGTGAAGCAACACATTTGCAAGACGACTTTCCATTTGTTGAAATAAAAACGATATTTAAGCAAGCTTCAAAAATTTGCATTATCTCCAAAAAAAAACAAACAAACCAAAAAACTATAAGTGCGCATAATATGCATTTTATGCATAAAAAAAGAAAAAAAAATAGCTGAAAAATTTATCAAAATCAGAATGAGAATGATTCAGGCAACTTTTTCCACTGGAGAAACCAATATTATAGATATAGGACTCACATGTTAGCTTCGCTTCATAAGATGTTAATTGATGATTTGTGGATTACTGTGATGTTTTAGCAGGCCTATGCAATATTACAAATTCAAAAATATGTGTAATACCTTTAAAAATATTCTAAAGTAAAAAAAGCCTAAACAAATCATATTACAAACATCATTCACAAATGTGTGAATACACATCTAAAAGGTAACAGACATCTTAGTATGCACTCAACCTCTTTCTCCCCAGCTGTTTCTCTCTCTCGGCAGAAATTTGCATGTAGATACATACTGTATTTCTCACTTTATCACTCATCTGTGCTTGTCAGATTAGAAAAAAA